AAAGTCAGAAAAAAGTAGGCGACTTTTTTAAGACTTCATTGAAAATGTAATGAACGCAAAAAAGGCTGAAATATTGCTATACTTCTTCTTAGCAGAAGGATTTAGGAAGAATTTAGCATTTCCAACAACCGACCCCCTTACCAAATGTCTACAAGAAGAAACCCGATTGTTTAGCTTCTTTAAACTTGCACATTATTGATTGAATTTAATGAACTATCAAACGGCATACTCGAAAAAATTCTAAATCGAAATAAAAAGTTTAAAATCTAGCTGAAGCTTTGCAGATTGTTATAATTTTTGCACAAAGTTTGAAATGTGGATTTATATTTTGTTTGTTATATAATGAGCTTGGCTCAAATGCAAAAATAATAAACATTAAATAAACAAAAGAGAAAAAGCGAAACTCGATCAAAATAGTGATGACTTAATCAGCTGATCACAAGTGTATGTATAAAATGATTTTTATATTAACGATCTCAAACTAGTTTACAATGAATTTTAAATGTGCTCTGTCAAAATGACATTTTACCTTACGTACATTTGTACCTTTGTATATAATACAAGTTTAATAAGAATAATTTTTTGTACATTCATTTGAATAAGACGTTTTTGGGTAGGAAATGACGTTTTTTCACACCAAGAGGGGCGTTTTCTCATGCCGAAGACCTGGCAACACTGGCTATGACATGCCCAGGCTTGTTTGTCTCAGTTTCAGTTTTGCCATCGCCGCGAGTTGTTTCGGTGTGCGCATAGTTATTTAAAATTATAAAGTTTGATGCCAACCGGGGTTCCTCGAGTGGATATATAATTCATGAGAAATATAATTTGAAAGTATCTATTTAGCCAAGGAAAAAGCAAAGCAGTATACTTAAACCAGCACTTCCAGCTAGGGTTACCAGATTCTGAAACAGAGAAAGGAGTACATTTCTATTTTCGATAGAAAAAAGCAGTACAGAACTTAAAAAAGGAGTACAATTTTTGTTTTAATTTTTTTGTGCAATTTATTGTTATAAATTACCATTATTTAGGTACAAACAAACACGCATATCATAGAAATCTTTTTCAAAGCAACAATAAATGTTAAAAATAAATAACTAAATTCTAAAAAAGAATTCCAGGCTATTCCTGAATGTATGGCAATTTTATTATTTTATAATTTATCTTATTTTTATACCCCAGCGCCCTGCACCTACCTGCCTACGACCATGCTTACACCTTTTCACTATCACACTTAACTTTACTTACTAAGTAGTGCTCGCCACAATATGAATGGCAAAGTACAGGGCGTAAAATAATAACTGTCGCAAAGGTTTTTCGAAAAATAAAAGAGTCCTTTAAAGATTTTGCGAAAAAAAGTATTTTTTGCTAACTTTATAAATAGTTAACTTTAATTTTATTAATTAGTTTTAAAACTTTAATCCTTATTTCCATTTGCCAGCTTTGGGAGATAAGTACATGCTTTTTTCAGGTGTATTTTTTCTTAGATTTTGTATAAAAACAAAAAGAAAATGTATAGGTATAGGGTTGGTCGAATGAATGGCCTCCTAGTCACCAGTTCCGAGTCTTTTGGATTGCTGAGTATGAGGCCCTATGTTGGACAAAAGACGAAGTATAAAGGAGCCAAATGAAGGAAGTTAGCCTATGGTTACAGAAGATATCGTCATACACACGAATAAAGGCGCGCTAGTGTTTTGACGGCGAAAAAAGATTCGTAAAAAATTGTTATCGAAAACTTGCGAAGTAGTAAGAGTCTTTGACGCTGAAGTTTTTTTATGCGTCTTTTTTCGCCGTCATTTTTTGAGCTCGCGCCTTTATTCGTGTCTAGTGACAATATGTAATAAAGTAACCGACGAAGACTTGCGTGCCGCTTGAGCTTTTCTCTCAAAGTGTTTACCGCTGGTAAACGCAAATGAAGGTTAAAATTTAAAAACTTATTAATAAAATTTAAGTAAAATCTGTGGATAATTAACAATTAACTACTTTTTTCGCAAAATCTATAAAGTTCCCTTTTATTTTTCAATAAAATCTGTGCAACAGTTTTTATTTTACGCCCTGTATATGATAAAATATTAATAGCTGGAAAAATGAGTACAAAAGAATACAAAACTAAGAAAGGAGTACATTTCCAGATATTTTTTTTGGGAGTACAAGGGAGTACATTACAATAAAAAGGAGTACGTTTACTCCCAAAAGCAGTACGTCTGGCAACCCTACTTCCAGCAGATATTGAACTGGGGTTTCGCACGACTATTCCTGTTTCATCGTTTCTTTTTAGGAAATTCTTACCACCATATACATATGTATTATTTACACTAGTAACTATTTATGTAAATGTATGTATTTTTTATGCTTATAAAGAAAAAAAAAAACATTGTTAAAAAGTCTATGTTCTCTTTGACGTACGTCAAAGGTCAAGTAGAAGTTGGAACTTGTATGGCTGCCATTGAGCTCGGATATAAAGTTTAAGAAAGACATTTTTATCAAAGTTGATAAATATGACATTTGACCAGTTTTGTTACACAAATACTCCCACGCCCACAGGCAAAAATATTGGCTACAATTTGTCATTTTATTTGTCAGATATACGCTTAATAAGTGCACTTGCACAACATTCGCATTCGCAAAAGCTACGCATTGATTATTGCGAATGCGAATGTTGAAATTAATGCAGAAGCTTCGCGGTTGCGAATGCGAATGCGAATATTCGCAACAACCCTGGTACAAATGATAAATCTGTTACCGAGATATACATTTGTGGTCAAAAGTGCGCAGCGCCACGCGCATTATCCAAAAAAACATTATGATTTCATTTAATGCTAAGGGTTATTCCAAGAATCGATTTAAAGTGAATTAGCTTCAGTAGTTATTGATTAATCGCAGTTTTCGCGTTTCTGTAAATTACCCTTATATGGGAAGTGGGCGTGGTTATCGCCCGATTTTCTAAAATTTAATAATAATCCTATTTTGTTCCAAAATTTTACTTTACATACTAATTTTTAACAATTTGGATACAACATTTACTGAAATATCGTAGATTTATCTAAATTGACATTTATCTAAATATATAATATTCTTTAATCATCACTTATATAACACCAATGTAAAGGAAAACAAATATTTATTCCGAAATATAAACATAGTTGGGCTCGCCTTACATTCCCGCAGATTTCTAGCAACAGGACCGAAAGGCCCGAGAGAACATGACTTTTGCTAATATCTCGAAAACTATTTATTTGTTAAATTAAATGGATTCATTTTCTAGTTCCGCGGCCTCAAATTCATTTAATAGGTTAATTTTAGTGTTAAAATAGATCTAAAGTAGGTTACTATATACTAGTTGCGTTTTTAAATTTTTCCTTAATACATTTTCTAAGTTAAGAAATACCACTTATCTGCCATTCTGCGGGAAGTCTTTTCACACTATATTAATAACGCTATAGAATATTAACGCGATCTCTTCCGGGGATACAACAAATTCCTTAATATTCACAAAAATTAACAAAAAAATACTCGTTGAAACCCGCTATTTTCGTTACATTTAAATTGAACTTTGTTAATAAATGATTAAAATGTATTCTTAAATGCATAATTACCTCCTGTATGCGGATCCATCACTACTTTTTAAGAATATAATGCAGAAATCAAAATATTAACTCAAAAACCGTCACGATCTTTCTAGAGAGCGAAAATTTATTTATAAGCAGCGTTAGATTATTCTGTTTCCGGTCAACGGTGAACGTTCGCTGTGCAAGTTAAAAAAGCGAGGGGGACTGGGAAATGTTATTTGACTAATTTTTTAAGTTTTTTCCAAAATTTGGTTAAATTGGTTTTTGGCCGCCTAAATCGTTGAAATACCCTATGTGCGATTTGAGTTGTTGTTTTCAAGCTGAAAGAATAAAAAAAAACACGGAACTTAATCATAATAAGTTTTATGAGAAAAAATAATAATTACACTTATCTAAGAAAAAGTGGAAAAAGACTAGCGATGCAAGCAGTTTTTTCAACAGACCATTGACAAATAATATTCGATCGTTACATAATTCATACCTAATTAAAGGTTATCTGGAAATACCTGTTGAAGGATCTTACTCTTTGACTTTAAATTACAAAAGAAGGGGACACAGGGGAACCGTTTTAACATAGCATCTCCACAGGCAAAAAATGTTGGCTACAATTTGTCATTTGTTTGTACGTTTTATTAGTGCACTTGCACAATATTCGCATTCGCAAAAGCTCCGCATTGATTATTGCGAATGCGAATGTTAAAATTAATGCGGAAGCTCCGCGGTTGCGAATGCAAATGCGAATATTCGCAACCACCCTGGTCAAGAGACCACAAAAAAAAATACAATTTTCATATTGGAGGGTCTCTGAATACTAATAAACTTTAGTTCCAAAAAAAAATTACTGGGTGAGCTCGAGCTAAGAAATAACTACCGCAAAATTGCAGCCTCGTTGCTTTCTTGATGATATCTTGCTGATGCTCAGCTGAAAATCTTCTGAAATGCTCCAAAAATTGTGCAGTAAAAATTTTTATGTTGCTTTTGATTTGCCAATGTTGAGCAACTGATTTAAAATTTTGTTCCTCGAACGCTTGGTGTAGGCAGAGTCGCGGAAAATTTTCGCGGTGAACATGATGATCTTTCAATAAAAAAAAGTAACACTACCGCATTATTTGCAGCTCGAATACACCGTTTGAAGATGTGAAATCGGAAACTAGATTAAAAAAGTCTTAATATATTGCGAATATATCGGTTTTGCTCCTCAGTGTACATATCTTAGAAAAAATCGTATATTCGTTTTTGAATAAACAGGCCGTCATTGGGGCAGCATCATTATACATACTCACTTTCGTTCCTAATTTTTTTGTAATGTACATAGAAAAAAATCAAATAAGTTATTGTGTGTCCTTATTTATTTTTTACACATTATATAAAATACTTTCTTTTTAAACGTCCGCATGCCTACATACATATGTAATTATACAATTGATTTTGCAGACTATTTGAAGTGTGCCAAGTTCTTGAACGCGAGGATCAACTGATGGTGCTTTTAGTTTTTGAACACTTGGAGCAGGATCTTTCGGATTTAATCGACAGACTACCAAAATCCGGAATGCCGCCAATAACGATTCAGGTAAATCATGATTTTAAATTATATTAGCATATATAACAAGTTGCTGCTAGGCTATTAACTTAATAACACGGTGCTACAAAAAAAGTTATAAAATACACCCGAAACAAAACCTAGTGTAGGTTGTAGCTATGGTCGAGTACTACATGGAAATAGGTTCCGTACACTGACCCAAAAGCGCAATGTTTTTTTTTCAGCCAAGTTTGATTTTTTAATGGTAAATACACTGATTGTAAGAAATGTGATTCAAGTTGAACATTGGATAGTGCACTTCGTCGCCTAGGTAAAATATTGTCGTATGTTAATTTTAGCAGGTTTTGGGAAATCGCGATTGATCCCATGGACCAACATCACTACTTAAGGGTTATCAAAAACAGAGAATCTATGTATATGCTTATTTGCATAACGAAAAACAAACGCCTAAACTACACAAAATCATTGCGCAACCCGAGACTGGTACAAATCAATATTGTGGAAATTACTACACAATAAAATTGCGCACACCTTATTTTGGAGAAACTTTGCTCAAGTAAATATGTGCAAGAAAAATGAATGTGCGTTGTATATTTTGATAGCTCCAACCTTAAAACATAAAAAAGAGTATTAAAAAATTTATTTTTTCTATGCTCCTATCCATATTTTACAGAACGATCTGGACACCAAAGTCAAAACTAGACTAAAAGCTGCGCAGTTGTTTCCATACGCAACACAAATTATTTTACAATAATACAAGCATGAGCAAAAATCAAAATGATTTAGATTTAGAAAATTTTAAGACTTTAAATAACAAGAAAAAAATTATTATATAGTTAATATTATTCATAGTTTTCAAAAATTAATTTCTACCAGCCAAAAGTAACAGAATTCTTAAAATATAGAAAAAAAAAGTATCAAAAATGATACAATTGTATCAAAACGTCAACGCTGGTCGTAACCAAGAACAAAAAAATAGCCGAAAAGTTTTTGAGTACCAAATCTCTCCCAGGCATTTGCCCGATTACATCCACCTACCAAGTGAATCTCAACTGTGTTAAAGGTACAATATTTGCACCTTTCCTTATCAATGTAAGCGATGAAGAAATCGTTGAAGGTTTGCAAACCTACGGTGTGACTTCAGTTTACGAATTAAAAAAAATAATAATAATAAACATTTTAACTCCAATTGGCGCACTCCTTTTCACATTCGATAGCTTCTGTGGCTGACTGGACACTCCGTAGGACCTTGGCCTGATCGCTGGACTGGGCATCTTCTAAATTATAAAAAAGTGTTTTCAAAAAGCGGTCACCCTTCGGCAGGCTATGGCAAACCTTCGAGTGTATTTCCGCCATGAGAAAGCTTCTCAAAAGTTCATTAAATCCATTTGCAGTTCGGAGGCGGGATAAAGCTGTTTGTCCCTTCATTTCTGAATATCTTAACGCTACACTGAGGGGAAAAAGTATTAAAATCAATCAGAAATGTAATCGATCACACAGTGGAATTAAATTAATTTCATTTTTAACCGACTTCAAAAAAGAAGGAGGTTATCAACTCGTCGGAATATATTTTATTTTTATTTTATGTATGTAACGGCACCAAACCAACCAAAAAACACACCTACCAAAAACCGTACCAAAAAATGCACCAAATGGTAAAAAATTCACCAATTTTTATTACATCGGGAAATTGAGTGGAGTTTATCAAAAAAATATGCTAATTCAGTTTTTATAACGATTTTTTTTATATTGCATCCAAAGTGCATTACAATTGTATATTATTAACATTATATTATTTAAAGTTTTAAATTGCAATTTGTTTTCTTAATTTCGTTTTTATTAATGCTAAATCAGTAAAAATGGGCTCAGCTGCTGCAGAACTGTGAGGCAGACTAAAAATGTTATGAACTAAATCACACAATTCTCCAAAAGCCGCTTCACGTAATCCATTTTTAATCAAACTTACTTAATCTCAAAAACGTTCCATATTGTTACAGTTTTTGAAGTTACCTTCACTCAGCCTCAGTTTGCGAAATTGAAATTCAATTATGTCTGCATCATTTACCAATGCAGGAAAAACACCAGATTTCGAAAAACTGCCGCTGCCACTAGGGCTGCCAGCATTTTCTTAGAAATATATTGTCCTTTTTCAAAAAAAAACTGAAAAAATATAGTACACGTCAAATATATGTATATAGTATTTTTTTTTTATACCCGAGCGCACTTGTGCACAAGGGTATTATAACTTTGTTCACATAACGGTTGTTTGTAACAGGCAAAACGAATCGAGATAGATATAGACAAATGTATACATAAATGATCAGAATGAAAAGAGAAATCGATTAAGCGGTGACTGTCTGTCCGTCCGTCCGTCTGTGCACACGATAACTCGAGTAAAAATTGAGATATCTTAACGAAACTTCGTACGTGAACTTCTTCTGGGCGTAGGACGGATGGTATTGAAAATGGGCGAAATCGGACAATAACCACGCCTACCTCCCATATAACGGTAATTTTCAGAAATACGAAAACTGCGATATTTTAGTAACTACTGAAGATTATTCACTCAAAATTGATATTTACAATAATTTTTAGACGAAAAATAAGAATATTATAAATTTTTGAAAAATGGGCGCAGCCACGCCCACTTATGGTTACATGTGTATATCTTGGCAACCTCTTCACCGATTTCTTCCAGACTAAGCACAGTTGTTGGTCCTGGTACAGCATACCAAATGGCTGAAAATTTTTAAAATCGGACAATAACCACGCCCACATCCCATATAACGGTAATTTCGAGAAATACAAAATCTTCGATAAATCAGTAAATATTAAAGCTAATTTATTCAAAATTGGTGGTTGCAACAACTATTTACCAAGAAATATGTTTATGATAAAATTTTGGAAAATGGGCGTGGCACCGCCCACTTGTGATCACATATATGTATCTCGCTAACCGTTCTAGCAATTTGTACCAAACTCGGTATGGTTATTGTGCTTGCCACATAAAAGCAAACTTTAAAAATTATTGAAATCGGACTAAAATTACGGCCGCTTTTCATATAACGGTAAATTTCAAAAATGCTTGAAACTGCAATATTTCGAAATTTAAGGACGCTAATTTACTCAAAATTGATACACCCCCGCTTACCATCTAGCGGTAGGTTTCGGAAAGGTGAAAATCATATATTTAATACTTGCGCCGGGTATTTAAATTTTTAAAGTAAAAATGATTTTTAAGTGTACATCTGTTTTCTTTCTTATGCATTTCGTCTATAAAAAATATATTTCTGTGTAAGTATTATATGCTTTATCGCTATCAATATTCAAATTAATATAAATCAAAAGTTAATTTTTTATTAGTGAGATATTCGCTTTATTTCTCTCATCTCACCATTTCCAAATCTTAATAGAAAAACTCTTTCTGTGAATGCCGAAGTTGCAGGAATAGAGAGCATAGCGAAATAATTTTAAGTAAATTTGGTAAATCTTTCTAAGTATTTTTAAAAATGTTGCCATTTTTGATCTGTCGACCCTTTGTTTTATAATTGAAGAAATATAGTATTTTTGCATACTATATTTTTTTCCAACAGTATATAGTACGCAGACCCAAAAAATAGTATATATTATAGTACGGTTGGCAACCCTGGCTGCCACTGCGTTATTGTATTTTGGGCTTTAGTTCTTTCAAAGCAATGCTTCGCGATAATCCAATGAGGGTATTACCTAAAAATTTTAAAATATACTTAGTGGCACTGTGTCGAAAAAATTACAGCTGCACCAAATTTTGAAATGCTTTTTGTTGTTTTTTAATTTTTGTCGTTGTTTAATTTTGGTCAGCTTTTTATAAAAATATAGTTCATTCTTTAGAAACAGCCGTGTATGTACATAAATATAAGTTTAAAGGTAGCGTCACACGATTAGGCATTTGGCCAAAATTTCGTATGAATGCATAAATATTTTTCTTTATCCTATCACGAAAAATAATGTGTTCAAATTTTTCAACTTTTTTTTTTTACAAAAAAATTATCGTCCCTATTTGTTCCAATAGCCCAATATAAAAATGTAAATGTAAAACTTTGTGCAATATCAAAAGAAAAAAAATTAAAAAATAGAACTAATTAATTTCCTAGAAAGATTCTGAGTGTGCAGTTTTGTAGCACATTGAATTCTAGTAGAATAAAGTCCAAGTTTCAAATGACTTGGAACCTGGGATTTACACGGGTTTTGCTAAAGAATGAACTATATTTTTATAAAAATAAAAAAAAATAACTAAAATTAAATAACTAAAAAAAATAATATGTTAAAACTTGGCTAAAAGTGGTTCGGCTATAATTTTTTGACCACTGTATGTATTTGTTTTTTATATAATTAATCAGACGTGCACATTGTACATAGAGGTATGTATGTATGTACATAACAAAATTAAAAAAATAAATGCC